CTGCTCATGAAATATACCATCTTTGGCTGAGCCATTCCTCCTTGATATTGAGGATTTTTTGTGTTCATTTGATCTAGGGGAATTACAATTATGAATCATCCGACCAACCATAACTTATGATACTCACAGTAACCACTAATGATGGTTACCAAGCAGTTAAAATATCAAAGCAGCATATATCAGAACATTTCTGAGCAGGGAGATAGACTTCCAGTGTTGTACTATCCAGATATTTATTATGTACTGTAAATTACATCATCGGCTGCCTCCTACACTGACAGCTTTGCACAGACAAAGCTTAAACACCAGGTTTTAATAACCACCACTTGGCAATCTTTTGATCATCAGAGAAAGATGAAAGGAAGCACTGCCTGCTGCAGGCTGTCAACTCAGTCAAAACAAAAGAAAACTTCAGAGAGAGACAGGCAGAGATGCATCAGGTGCTAATCTTGAAGTGCACTATACAGAAGTCAAGTGTAATGTCTCCTCATGCAACATTCATGATTAGTTTCACCAGGGTAAAAAAAAAACAAACCTTTATCCATTTCGTTGCAGGGAGCAAAATCTTACTGAGAAACCCTCACACTGAAGGATCCCTTTAATTTTGGTAACTGAAGGTGGATTTTTTATTTTATTTTTTCAGAAAGCAAAAAACAGGTGACAGTAAAGGAACATCTCCTCCCATGACCTCTTGAAGACAGAAGGCAGCAGAGTGATTTATTCCTTCCTAATTAATACAATATGTTTAGTTGTGTACACTGTACTTTCCAACACTTCACCTGGTATGGACTGATAAAGATGAAATCCAATAAGAGGCTCCTTCATTTTTCGCTGATCTCGTGCTCTGCTGGCCCTTTTCCAACAGGAAACCAAAACCATATCATGCACATATAACTCTCTCTCGTTTTTCCTAGCCCCCATCAGCCAGGTGGTCAGAGGCAAAACCAAGAATGAGCACCACACTCTGAATCACCTCTTTATGGCATTGCTTGTCTAGAGGCAATCTGTATCCATGAAGCATCAGGAAAGAACTGGAAATAAAACTGCCACTATCATAATGAATTTTCAAATATCTGGTGTGATCATACCTGAATAAAATAGGATATCCAATACACAATGCACTCATGGAATACACTGTTCTAGTCGCTACATATCAGAAAAGATATTTTAGAACTAAGAAAGATTTAGAGCAAAGCAACAAAATAATCAAAGGGTTTGAGTAGGGATGTGCAACTGTGCAGATAGGATACTAGATTAGACAGATCTTTGGTATGACTAAATATGACTCTTACTTATACAATGTAGAAGAACTTGGAACTCTTCATGAAAGTAACCATATCTTATCCTTCCTCTTGACTTTGCAGTTAAATGACATTATTTTATTATATAGAAAAACAAATATAAAAGGATATGGAATATGTGCAATGACTACTGGAATGGCCCCGGATTAGGATTGTGGGTGGCGTGATTTTAATAATGGTTGTAACTGCTTAAATGAGTATTAATTTTAATCTCAATTTAATGTTTATTTTAATTGAATGTTTTTAAGGCATTGAAAAGTTGCCTATGTGTAAAGTCACCTTGAGTCCCCTTCGGGGTTGAGAAGGGTAGGGTATAAATATGGTAAATAAATAAATTATTTAATGCAATGTAAAAAGCTGGGATGTGACAAATATTCAACATGATCAGCTAGTCAGTCTAACATCATAAATGAATTCCAAAATGAACAATCCAACCAACCCTTTTTACCTGTATAACAAAGATTTCTTTCATTTTCACTGTAGGCTTTATATGTTCAGTATGAGATACACAATACCATCTGCTTCTTTTTCAAGGTACTATCAGTCAAACCCAACCTTGTCAGTTTATCTTTCAACTACTAAATTCAAACCATTCTAAAGCACCCTGCTTTCATCTTTACAACCTTCTCCCTCTTTGAACCATTCCACAGCCTTAAAAGAATGCATATGACTTAGGAAGTACAAGCAATCTTTTAACATTTCAACGTTGTGAATCTTGTTGTAAACAACATTACAAGTTTTATCTGCATGACGATGTCATAAATCAAAGGTTAACATTTCTGAACTCCTAACAAATGATATTTTTCCACATAAAGATCTGACAGTATACTACAAAAACCATGATTTTCAGAGAACAGGTTTGCAAGTATAAAATGTGCATTTAGCTAAACTAAAAGCAGGTTGAAAAGGTGACTGAGTCTAAATAAAGATGGACTGCCTGTGGGAGACAGGTGATATACAATCCAAAAACAAAGGGAGAGTTGCAGAAGTCCTATTTCTGCATTACATAGATACATATTACAATGGGCCCTTGCTAACCAGTGAAATTTGTTTCCAGGACCCCTGTGGATACCAAAATCAATTGATGTTTAAGTTCCATTATATTCAATGATGTAGTAAAATGGTGTTCCTTATATAAAAAGGAAAAATAAAGCGCGTGTCTGTATGTGTGTGTGTGTATACACACACACACACACCCCATGGATGATTGAATCTGTGGGTATAGTCCATGGATATGGAGGGCTGTAAAGCTATAATATGAAACTCAATGGCTACTAAAAATAGATACATATCGTCTCCAATATCAGAAACACTATTCCTTACAATTTCTGGGGGGAGAGGGCTACAGTACTAATGCTGTTGATTTTCAGTAAGTCCTATGTAACAGAGGTACATTTCTCCCTACTTCACCATCACCAAACTGTTCAAGAGGCATCAAGACATAGAGGCTGAGCTTTGAACTAGGACTCTGAGGCCCCTAATACACTGCTATATTTCTACCCCGTCCTTCTTAATCCCGGGGGGGGGGGGGGACTCAGGACGGCTTACACTCGGCAACAATTTGATGCCGCAACATACAGACAAATACAACAATATAACAACAATTTAAAACAGTAAATAAATCATTAAGTTAAACACAATTAAAAACATTTTGTCAACCCATTCCAGTCCAATTCCAACATCCAAAGTGCTGCTGTCCAAAACCCTGGTCCCAGAACCATGATTTCAATTTCTTCCTGAAAGACAGGAGGAAAGAAGCTGACCTAATCTCGCCGGGGAGTGAGTTGCACAGGCAGGGGGCCACCACCGAGAGGGCCCTGTCTCTCATCCCCACCAAAAGCATTTGTGAAGTAAATCCAGATTATCTGCTTTGAACTGGATTATACAGCAGCGTAGATTCATATAATCCAGTTCAAAGAGATAGTGTGGACTTTCTGCTTTGATAATCTGGATTATATAGCAGTGTAGAAGAGGCCTGAGGGATCGGAGATCAAAATCCTGCTCATCATGGGAATCCACATGATGGCTTGGCCCAATCACTCTTCCCCAACATCAGAAGGCAAGAGCAAAACCCCTTTAAGTAAATCTTTCCAAGAAAACACTAGGATAGGGTCACCAAAAATCAAAACAGCCATAAAGAACGATGCAGAATTCCTGATGCCACAAATGCTTTAAAGTAAAAATGAAACTTATGAAGTACAGTAGACCCTCAGTATTCACTGGTGTTTGGTTCCAGAACATCTTGTATATTATCAAAACCCATGAATGTTTAAGTTCCGTTAAGTGCAAAGGCACAATAAAATGACATATCTTCTATAGAAGGGTAAGAGAGCCTGAGGTGCTGTCAAATGCTGGGAGGCAGTGTACCCAGTGTGCAGCACTTTTTGGACTTTTAAAATGAATAAATAAAAACGGTGGTTGTATCTGTGGACACAGAACCCATAGATTTTGAACGCTGACTGGAATATTAAATATTCTCTCATTTTAGAAAAGTATAGTTTGCCGCTAATTGCGCTTCAACTGTTCTTGTTACAAATATGCAACTGAAACTTGGTCATCAGAAACTGCCCTGAAGTTCTCTTCATTATCTATTCAATCACACAGTTTTATATTATAACCTCTTTATCCTTAGCTAAAATTGAGCTTTTCAAGCAGATATAATGTTCCTGACTATAAACGGTATGTCACAAAAGGACACAAAACTGATAGCTAAAACCACAAGTCATAGCAACCTGCACAAAGTGACATAATTTGTACACTTTGACAAACTGGTTTCCTTTTATATCAGAGGATTTGTGCAGAACTCAAGTTTGCAAATTCACCCAGCATGTTCACAAGAAAGATACATTAAACTTTCATTTCTGATTTCAATCAACCACAATTTAACACTTTGCTGCAATCCTAACTATACTAAACTTTAATTATGGTATATTACAACAAGACTGCTTCAAAAAATCTAATTAAGATTAACTACATTTTATCTGGCTTTGGACTGAATTGTAAGTTATATTTAGTTAAAGACTGAAGAGACTGATTCTGAACTTCTCCTGAGTGCACCAAAGGAGGTAAGCACAACATGAAACTCATTATGTAATTCACAAAACTACATACTGTTGCTTTGTACTATTATATCTCAATAAGGTCAATAACGTTGGCCTCATTAGCTGTTGCCCCAACAGTTAATTCTGGGAGGCTGCCCGCTATTCAAAAAATGCAACAATAATAATGTTGGGATTCTAACAAAAGTTAACAATGAGTAAATTGCTTGTTTGTAACATTTAGTATCAAGACTCTTTGGGGGTTTTTGTGCATACATGGCTTTATGACATTTCTTGAGGAAAAAGTGCACATTTGACGCTTTGTGATTTTAAGCCTTGTCTGGCTACTACTGAAATCAGGAGATATGGGCTTAAGTTACAGTGACATTACATTATACTGTGAACACAGTACATGGAACAATAATTCAGCCAATGTAGTACAGGAAATGTGATAATATTCAGAAAAAGGCCTTATCAACTATTTTCAACAGTGCACACCTTATACAACTATGGCATGGTCTAAATGCTAATTCAACTCCCATTCCCACATGAACATGCTTTGTGACTATTTCGTGATTTATCATGATATAGATATTTGTTGTTATTATTATTGTTTTGATGGCACTAATCTTTGAAGTGACGCTAATGATAAAGCACCAACCTGGTTGATGGCATTAGCAGCACATGAGGACAGCCCTGTTCCAAGGGAGGCAAGCAGGAAACAGGTTAGGTCAAAGGGTACTGGTGCCATTGCAAATCCAGCTGAGGCAGTGCTTACAACCAGGGCTGCAATAAAAAAGATATTTCAGCATTCAAAGCAATGAACATGTATAATTTTGTAATTGTAACAACTACACGCTAATTATAAAGTTAAAATGGCAACTTGGTCACGAATCCACAGCTCTCTGCCACCACTTCTCTTTGTAAAAACAGTAAAAAGATGAAGGGTAGATAGCCACTCCTGAGATTCAACTTAAAATATGAAGATAATGGAATAAAAACACTCCTCCAATTCAAAATCTAGGTCTAGGGAATGTTTCTGTGGGCAATTACAGATATTCTATTAACATGCGACTATACAGGTTTGACAATTCACGTAATATGAATTAACAATATTTTTTGGGCAATGAGATTCACCTCCTAAAATTAAAGACCAAAATCAGTAACCTGTATCACAAAGCCCATGCTGTTTTTACAACTTTCTTGTTCAACTTTTTATCCTTATGACAAATGAAAGGATACACAAATGTTAAAGGTTGAAATTGAAGAAAGCATGTAAACATATGGTAAAAATATATACTACACATTTTCCAATCTTCCTTCTTGATTTTTAATGAGTTTAGTTAGAAATCAAAGACATAGCTATGCTAGTCTGGAATAACAGAATGCAAAGGGGTATTATAGCATTCTAGAGACCGAAAGAAAAATTAGCAGCATAAGCTTTCGTAGATTGAGTCTGAGGAAGAAGTTTTATAGATTTTATTGAACTAAATTTTAATATGTATGTTTATAGAATTTTTGCAATGTTTGTGTATTTTGACTGTGCTGTGACCTGCCTCAAGCCACAAGGGGAGGCAGATAAGAAATAAAGAAGTTGTTGTTGTTGTTGTTGTTGTTGTTGTTATGGACTATGCGGGCCATCTAATGCAGTTTTGAACTGGTATTGAAGAAAATAGTCTCACTCTGCAGATGATTATATAGGAAACCCTGGAACCAGTTTGAGGCATGGATGGTGATGACACAAACCACAGAGCACCGATGTGCATTCAGGGCCTTCTTTCGTGCACTTTTGTGGATTTTTTTTTTTTTTTTTTGGTCTGGCTGCCACAGATTGAAGCTAGCTTTGAATTGTATTAAATGGTCAGTGAAGATAGGGCTGCAATCTAAGAAAGTTTATGCTATCTCAGTTACTCTCCAAGGTGCTACAAGATCCCTTTCCATTACTTAGACAGGTTAGGGTTCCATTAGCAAGGGCAAATGCCTTTTACATTCTGGTAAGAAAGTTTAATTAAACTTATCAGAAAGAATACTTTCAACTCATTTATTATAGCAGAACACAAGCTCATTTATAGGAGGGGAGAGGAGGAGCAATCTGTATAACATTATCATTACAATGACCCTCAAAAGAAATTCTAGCACACTGGAGCCAGTGTTCTAATTAAAGTCTCCATTGATTTCTCCAGATTAATTTCAGCCACTCATTTCATTGCAACTTATCAGGTTCCCATTAAAAGAAGCAGTAGCACATTCTCATTTATTGAACTGAAATTAACTTTATCCAGTATCCCATACTCATAAAACAAAGTTCTTGTTGTCAAGAATGTTAACTCAGCATTAGGTTTTTTGTTTAACCCTTTAAGGGACTGTCTGAAATTCAGACTCAAAGGTTCACCCATGCTTAATACATTGGATGACTATAAAGAGGTTTCAATTCAGACTTTTCTCTTAAACCTGTTGAAGGCTAGAGTTACAAGAGAACATGGGGAAGTGCCTCAGGGCAAGGTAGTGTTACTAGAGACCTCATTTTACAAATCGCATTTGTGATGTTCTATTCCTCACCTCTGAACCTTCTTTATCCTAGTGCGCCTGAGCATGACTAGTTTCTTTAGGCACTACAAGGAATTTGTTTACACAAGTTCTGAATTGTGTGAAACACAGAGAACTATTGTAATAATGGGTTATCTTTCTAATTATTATACACTCCTCTAAACTAATAGGAAAAGATGGGTGTGTGTGTGTGATAATATACACTTTCATAATCCCACTTTTCTTTTTCAAGTGATTACTTTATCAATCAACAAACACTGATTGAAGATGCACATGTTTATAGTTTGGAATAAGGGGAAAATGTTTAAAAAATAACTCTAACAGAAGAAAAATGAATAAGAAATAAACTAAAGCAAAAGTATATAATCATATCAAAGGATATATAAACAGCAGAGAAAATATAAAATTATAAAGTAAACACACTATTAGTTCTTTGTTTTTATAAAAGTATGCTGTTGACCTCCGTTTTTGAGAAGTATAGACTTTGTTCAACACATTTTTCCAACATAAAGTACTGTCTATTCAATTTACTGAAATCTAAAGCCTAAATAATTATTGTTTTATTTCATTTTCAATCTTTCCAATCAGTCATTCAAAAAGTGTTGGAATTTACATCTCAACCAACAATCTTCTCAGATAAATCTGGAATCTAGAACCTCTTGTCCTATATCTATTTAATTCACTTAACTAGACTGTCAGCCTAAAGCTAGCTAAAATTAAAAACAAATTAAACAATGTCTTAAAACATTAGGTGATGTATAGATAGTACTTGATGCCAGAGAGACTTGATGTTCTATAGTAAATGCTGGAAATGGGAGAAAAATGTTGAGACATTTTATTATATGTGGTGGTCTTGTGAAAAGACTGAGAAATGCTGAACTCAAAGGCACATGATGGTGGAAGAAATTGTTAAGGTTCAAATCGGAATCAGACTAGAGTTTTATTTGTTAAGAAAGCTGGGTGATCAACTAGAAAGAAAATATGGAACATTACTATGCAAGATTACTGCATCGAGAAGTAGCTGAGATGGACAAACTGTTGGTGCTGATTAAGTAGAAACCCCTGACTAACTTCAAGACAGATTGTGACTTTTGCCTCCCTTCCTCTCACTTGCAGCAGCATGTAACTCAAAGAATTTCACTCAAAACAGTGGATCCAGGCCATTAGTTCCCTACATTTTTATTGCATCCATCAGTGCTTCTATGATAGAAGCAAGGTGGAAACCTGTGTTCCTCTTTTAACTGAGCCAGAGAGTGCTGGGGAGGAAGTGGAAGGATTTGACTTTTAATATTCCAATTCACACGGAAAACTAGCATGTGAAAGCTGCTAAAGAGCTTCCATCTTTATTTCTCTCCTCACATTCTCACACAAGTCTTGAAGTTTTGCATTTGATAGTAATCTATACACATAATAAAAGTGAAAATGTGTGTGTGTGTGTGGCTGGGTGTTCACTTACCAAGACAAGCTCCAGCCTCCACAAATAGGTATACTTTCTATTACTCACGATGCACCAAATGACATTGCAGGTTATAGTGAGCACTGTAAACATGTACAAGAGCTCTGCCAATGTCCTCCACAAACACAACACTGCCCGTCACCCAAGTAAATGGTTTCAGATAGGGACAATTTCAGCCTAGATTTTATGTGTTTCCTCCACCACAGACATCCCAGTGTTTCTTGTTCTCCCTATTGCTGTGAAATCTGCATGATCCCACCCACTGCCTCTCCCTTAACCCTTTCCTGTTATTTTCTATGACATACTGCAAAAAGAGCAGAATTTATCAGCAACTGAACATACTAGAGAGATTCGGGGAGAATTCACCATGATTCTTAGGAGTTTTAGGTCCTGGGATGTATAGTTCACCTGCAATCTAAGAGCACTCTGAATTCCACTAATGATGGACCTGGAACTAATTTGTCACACAGAACTTCAATGACCAACAAAAAAATACTGGAGGTCTCTGGAGGGATTTATAGGAGTTGTAGTTCACCTACATCCAGAGCGCACTATGAATCTAAAAAATGGTGGACCTGGTGGATCTGAACCAATGGTGGATCTGGACCAAACTTGGCATGCATCCCAATATGCCCAAATTTGAATACTGGTGAGTTTTGAGGGGAATTGGCCTGGGCATTTTGGAGTTGTAGGTACTGGGATTTAAAGTTCACCTGCAATCAATGAGCACTCTGTACCACCAAAGATGGAACTGGACCAAACTTGGCAAACAAACTTGCCCAACATAACAAACTTGAAGTACTGATGGATTTTTTTCAAGATTAACCTGGCATGATGTGCGTTGTAGTTCACCTACAACCTTATGCATTTTCTGCAATTTTAAATAATCCAGGCAACGCCGGGTACCCAAACTAGTTGGAAATAAATGTTAGTAATTCTTCATGCAAAAAAATTAAAGAAATGCTAGAAAAAAATAAAAGTGTCTATAACACTGGCCACCTTCACATATACACTATGTTATAGTTCAGGCTGCATACTCAAACCTCTGTGCATACTCAAACTTCTTCATCCCTCCAAGGTTTCTGTTAGTTTTAAAAAATTGAATATTTCTGAAGAAGTCTGTATTATCATACACTGGTATTCTATATGAAGTGAAAGCAGTTTGTTGGTATGTTTAAGTCTGAATTTCCTTGAGATAAATCCTATTTCCCAAATATCAAAAATGATTTTCTGACACTACATTTATCAACATAACAAGCTAATTCTGGCAAATGACTTTAGGGCTAAAGAAATCCCAAACACACTTACAAAAAAGTAACCCCAATGAACTAAGAAAACTAATAAAATGGAAATCCGTAACAAAATCAAAACAATAGCAAAAGGCAGAACAGAGATATAAAACCGTCAATTTAATTTGGAGGGGTTAAACTAAAAACTTAATAATACCTGTAAGTTTGATTTTGGACAAACGTGCCAAAACCCCTGGTAAAGTATCCAACTGTAGTTTCATCTCTTTCCATTGTTTTTCTTCCTGAGACATGGACTCTACTGTCTTTTCTGTATTGTTTAGAATTGCCATGGGCGTCAGTGCTTCAGATTCATTCACTGTTGGTTTCTCAGATAAAGGGGGAAGAAGAGGCGAAACCGATCTCACCAAATGGCTAACCGTCTTTTCTGGAACTGAATGTTGTCCTTCAAAGTAAGGAGGCGTTGTTGATTCTGGCTTCAGTTTTGCTCGCTGACAGAGTGCTTTTTTATGTTCTATTACATACTGCAAGAGGAGAAATAGAATAACTAAGCCATTTTAAGTGAAATCCCACTTAAATTAATGAATTCCCATACTAGCATTATTTGCAATCAGTCTTCATATTACATCAGTCTTTTCTCACATAGTTGTTATAATATTTATATCTATATTTATATAATGGTAATTTCCCAATGTGACACTCAAGGTGACTTGCAACAGTTAAAAAAAATCATAGCTAAAATTACAGAAAAGATTAAAAAAATCATGAAACTATCCCAGAAATTAAAACCTGTGAAAATATAGCTATTGAAAACAACAAATAAAGAAAACACAGATTGATAATACTCTTCAGACGTTTTATACTACAGTTTCCATCACTCCCAATTAACTCCAGATGGTTCAAAAACTGGCAACCAGATTGGTTACAGGACATCAAGGAGTGAGCATATTACACCTATCCTAAAGTCACTCCACTAGTTGCCAACTTGTTTCCGGGCAAAGTACAAGGTGTTGGTTGTGACCTTTAAAGTCCTACATGGTTTGAGTTTAGGTTACCTACAGGACTGCCTTCTGCCATTCAATCTGCCCTGAAGACTGAGGTCTTCTGGGGAATGTCTGCTCCAGCCTGTCAGAACCCAATTGGCAGCTGCCACCGAGAGGACCTTTTCATTGTTCCACAACTGTGGAACGACCTGCTGGTAGAGCTCCAACAACTATGTCAGCTGTCGGAATTTAAGACACAAGTGAAGACATAACTCTTCCAGCAGGCCTACCCAGACAGTTTTAATGATGAATTTTAAACTTCTACTCTATGCTTAACTTATGTTTTGTGTATTTAATGTGTATTTTATGGAAATATGTTTTAATATATGTATTTTACACAGTTTTTAAATGATTCTGTGTTTTAGTAATGTTGTAACCTTCCTCGAGTCATGAAGAGAAGTGGGTAAGAAATACAATTATTATTATTATCATTATTATCCATCCTGCACCCAAAGAATACATACAGGCAATGATGAAAGAGTATGATAGTGAATATCTAGAGTTAAGCTATGGCTTCGAGTGATTTACCGTATGTTTGAGCCATTTCAACAATGTCAACTTAAACTCACTTCATTTTCCTTGGTTCACTGACTAGATTTCATATGAATGATACTACTAGACTACACAGCTCCATGAAATCTATCACCTGTAACACCAGCAAGGCCCTCCACATGCCTCTGGAAATTCACAAGTGGAGCCTCCAAGTGACAGCCATCCACACTCATTTAATTTTCCCGTTCTGAATCTGCAAATCAGAGGAATACTGTCTTTGAACCCAGAGGTTACATTTGTCATCCCTCCAGAAGTAACTTATCATTTTGGAGCAAGGTTATTCATAATAAAGAGTTATTATTCCTTTATTATAAATAACATTATGTATATCCCACTGTTTAACTCAAAACAAAAACTCAAGGTGGCTTATTAATGGAGCAAGTGGACAAACATTTAATTTTTTGTGATACTTCAACCCACTTCACAGAAAATTATCCTTTATCTGTCAAGGATTTATATAACAAATACTAATAATTTAAACAGCCTGGTCATCCCTTATCCAGAATTCCAAAATCTGAAAGACTCCAAGATCCAAAATTTTCAACAGTCATCACTATGATAGTGATATCTGTGTCTTCTGGTATTTGTGGTTCAAGCATAAAATTATTTTAAAATACTGTATAAAATTATCTTCAGGCTATGTATACAAGGTACACAAGAAACATAAATGAGTTTTCTGTTTAAACTTTCTCTCCATTAACATGGTATCTCATTATATATGTATATGCAGGGATTCCAAAATCCAAAAATTTCCAAAATCCACTTCTGGTTCCAAGTATTTAGGATAAAGGATACTCCAACTGCACTATCTTCTGGTGCAGCATATATGCTAGACTCACCATACGCTTGAAGAAGTGTAACTGCTGAAATGTAACCCTCTTTTCTTTGGTGACTCTTAAGAAGCACGCAAACTTGCATGGCACTTGCTGCATGGCTTTTTTTCTGAGGTATTAGGAAGCTATTCCTAGAAATGAAAAAAGTAGCCACATTTACTATAACCATTAGAAGCAAAACTAGTACATTACCAATTTCAATAGCAAAAGAGAGACAGAGAGCAAGAGAAAGCATAAGGAAGAAATGTAGTCAACATATTGCAAATCCAAAGGGAAATCATTCAGTTTTTCCTTTCAAACAACTCATCAAGCTAATCTTTTCCACTCCTGCTACTGCCATTGGCTATAAAACTGTTTACACTAAACGAATATCAACAAGATGGAATATTTACTTAAAACTAGGTATTGCTCATAAAAATAGCACCAGAGTTGAACATTTGCATTACGAGAGTTGTTGAGGGTATTTCTTTTGCACCAGCTGCAATGTATGTTTATTACTGATCTTAAAAACTACTAGCTATAATATAAGACAGCCATAAAACTTCATTTTTTAATTGTCACAGTAAAAAGTCTCATGACAACAAAGGAAAACACTAAAGCAATATTTATGTCTGGTGTATGTACTTCAGTTGTTCAAATCGATACACCACAATTATATTGAACCCACACTAAAAACTAGTTTCTATCTCTAGAACAAGCCATTTCACCTATTTAAGAAGAATGTTTGCATCTTGGTGTATGTTGCTCAGAAACTATAAATATGCATTAGTTTTAACATAAGATACCACATTACCTCGAAAGAACACAAATTAATTAACTAGTAAAACTTTTTAGGAAAGAGAAAACTAGTGATCAGAACAACACATTCTGGGAAATTCACATTCTAAGCATTCATAAAAATGGTAATAGTGAGAAAATATTTTAAAGCCTTTTCAATCATCAATAAATTTTAGCAAAAAATATTTCCAGAAGTTGACACCTGATGTTTAAAGTAGCAGCATTAGAAGAACTCTGAAAAGCAATATAAGACAAATGGAAGTCAACTAAAGATATGCACTTTATTTGTAACACTTGTCAAAATACCCAAATGCACACAGGTTAGAGTTGTCTTTACAATACCCGAGTGGCAAAACTAGCCATGTCCCCCTATCATTTCTACAATATGTCATGAGGGCAGAAATAGGGCACTGTTCTTTGGACTATTCCTTACTACTTTGACTATATGCACTGCAAATCTATGTGTTGGTATGAAAACTTTAATGAATAAAGATAGTAATGGGGGCTCCAGATCTATCTGCACATTTTAATTAGTGTGCTTTATAAATCAAACCCCAGATACCATACTTCTAGGGTCCCCTTAGTGTCAGTCCTAGGTTTCAGATGCCTTCATTTCATTGCCTTGCAGGTATGGCCCTGACAGACCCACACATTCACTTTTATTGTTATAGATTCTAGCCCAATGGCTTTTTTTTTTAGTATTTTCAAGCACCACAACTATGAATTTGGTTATAGATTTGAAGTCAACTTTTTTTCTAAATCAAACATTAATTATGGTACTTCAAGAGACACATATTACCCTTTAAATCAAGTCAGCCCCAGGTGGTTAGTGCAAATAGTTATAGTCTCAACAACAAAACAACAGGCAAGGGGATTCTCATTGTGATTTTTTAAAAGATATGTTCCGTCTTCACCAGAGAATGCCTGGGGTTATCAACTGCATCCATTTCCAATAAACTCAGCCCTATTAGTTTTTATGTATCTAGGCCTATAAATTTCAGCATGCTCTCACACACCTACCTCAGCCTAGGACTGGGCTTCAAAATTTTCTTTAAATTCTTCAGAAAATATTAATTGCTACTGTTAATTTTTTTCCACTATTACAACTTTAATTTCAGGAACATGGTGAAATGAGTATATGTATGCCTAAACTGTTTTCAAGAAAACATGCATATTTGCAAAACATGCATGAAATAAAGAGGGAGCAAGAGAGACATTATACTGAAAATGTGTTTCATACCTCCTAGCACCCAAGTTTTGTTTTGTTTTGATATCACTAAAGTTGCCAAACTTGACCTAGCAATTGCTAGGTGATACATTTCCTTGGAACTGAATCATTAAACCAACATACCAAGAAAATTTAAGAGGAAATCTAGGAAAAACTATGTTTGCAAATAATTATTACAGTGGCTAATGTCTCTAATTTCCATGCAACCTAAATTCTAATATATTGAATCTCAACTTAATATCTTGCTACTTCCTTGGTGAAAGAGTCATCTAATTGTCTGCATTTTCCTATATCTCACTGACTGCAATGTTTAAATCTTGTTTATTTTTGCAAATGAGGCGCTTTTTCTATCAGATCAACCAGTTTCCATTTCCCAAATTGCCCAGTGAGGCAGAACTCACAAAATGCTTCCATGTCCTGGCAAGGAAAAAAAAAACTTGATTCCTCAGCACTGAGCCATGGCAGTTCAGGTGCTATCGAACTGCATTTCTTCAACAGAGTAGATGCAACTTGAGCGACAGAAACATGCAAGACACTTCTAAGCACAAATATAGCTAAAACTGAACTATAAACCAATTAATTGGAGAACTGGACAGAAAGGATAACCAATGACTCAGGCTCCATCTACACTGACCATTTAATGAAGTTTGAAACCAATATTGAAGAAGTGGTTTCTCTGTGCAGGTGATTACATAGGAAACTCTGGAACCAGTTGAGACCAGGAGATGATGGTACAAACCGCAGAGCACTGATGGACATTAAGGGTCCCCCCCCCCCCATATGCTTTTGTGGGAGTTTATTGTCTGGTCACCATAGTTTGAGGCTAGCTTTGAACTACATGAAATGGTCAGTGTAGATGAGGCCTAAGAACTTAATTTATAGATAAAATTTTGCCCCCCGGAGAGGAGAAGGAATAGACTCTCTACAGACACTACCATATATGGTAGTTCACGCATTAAATTGTCTGAAACTACTTGAAATACTGTATATATTAACACATTTAATATTAAAGTACACAGCTTCATTGACTTCAGTCCATATCTTCAGTTGCATTGTTGGAACACAAATAATTATTTTTGCTATGGATTTTCTGCATTACAACTGGATATTGAAAAGATGCCCTGTGATATTCCTTTCAACTGAATGTTCTTCTTACTTCCTTTTTCATATTAGTGCAAAGTACATTCTGAGGAAAAATAGTTGAAGACTTTTTTGAAAAAATAGGTATTTAAAGTCATTTTAGTATACAGGTTTTTAAACAGAATCTTGTGGAATGTTTTAGTTGTAAACGTCCTGCCTCATTCACAACTAGGAAAAAGATTGAACTAAATGGCCTGTGGGACCTCTTCCAACTATGTGTGTTTACATTCCTTATTCTGAAATAGTGCAAAGCATGTTGAGATGGTTCTGGTGTTTCTGCCCACCTCTGCAACCCCACCCTAGTTCTGTCTTTTTCCCCCAACATTCCACCACACAGTTCCATATAGCACAAGACACCAGCATTAATAGTCAATGATGGTAAATGTTACGACTGCTAATACTCTTCTATTCTCTTCCTGAAGAGACAAAAAGAACTGATAATAATTAACAAATACGGTGCTCAACCAGGACAATTCCACTCAGAATTACTAGCAAAGGGCTCCCCAAACAAAGGCATGAGGGCCGGATGCGACCCTCCAAGATCTAAACCAGGAGTCCTCAAACTAAGGCCTCGGGACTGAATACGGCCCTCCAAGGTCATTTACCCAGCCCTCGCTCAGGGTAAACCTAAGTCTGAAACTACTTGAAAGCACAGAACAACAACAATCCTATCTCATCAGCCAAAAGCAGGCCCACACTTCCCACTGAAATACTAACAAATTTATATTGGTTAAAATTGTTCTTCATTTTAATTATTGTATTGTTTTTAAGTGTTTTTTGCACTACAAATAAGATATGTGCACTGTGCATAGGAATTCATTCATTTTTTTCCCAAATTATAATCCAGCTCTCCAACAGTTTGAGGGACTGTGACCTGGCCTTCTGTTTAAAAGGTTTGAAGACCCCTGATCTAAACTGTAGACTTGGAGTTGTCCTAAATTTGAAACGACTTGAAGGCACACAACAACAATCCTAATTAACTTGACTATGTCACACTAGAGAATGAATCCACTTTAAATCCAGTTGCTGTCTCCTGCAGAATTCTTGGGTTTGTAGTTTAGGGAGGAGTCTTTAACAACCTCACTAAGCTACAAACCCCAGAATTCTGCAGGAGACAGAAATCAGATTTAAAGTGGATTCATTCTCTAGTGCGATGAAGTCTTATCTCATCAGCCAAAACCAGGCTCACACTTCTCACTGAAATACTGTTAAGATTATGTTGGGGAAAAAAGTCATTTTAAATATTGTATTGTTCTTTCATGTTTTCTGCACTACAAATAAAATATGTGCATTGGGATTCATTCCTGTTTTGTAGGTTTTTAAGTGGCTGGAGTTACACTTAAAAATATACCTGTTCCAATTTACATACAAATTCAACTTAAGTGTCAAGATCTCTTTGAACAGCAACTTGGTAATTGCACTTTTCAACCTCCACAAAAGATTTAAAAAAGAGAGGGAGGAAGAGGAAACAATTCAGTGTAGAAATAAAATACATTATGATTGTGGGATCGTCTATAGCATATACAATTACTCACCATGACCTATATCAGTGGTTCTCAACCTTCTTAATGCCGTGACCCCTTAATACAGTTCCTCATGTTGTGGTGACCCCCAACCATAACATTATTTACATTGCTATTTCCTAACAGTAATTTTGCTACTGTTATGAATTGTCATGTAAATATCTGATATGCAGGATATATTTTAATTCACTACACCCAAGTTTGAATACTGGTGGGATGGGGGGGGGGGTGGTTTTGTCATTTGGGAGTTGCAGTTGTTGGGATTTAGAGTTCACCTACAATCAAAAATCATTCTGAACTCCAGCAGCGATGGAATTGGGCCAAACTTGGCACACAGAACTCCCATAACCAACAGAAAAAACTGGAAGGGTTTGGTGGACATTGACTTTGAGTTTTGGAGTTTTAGTTCACCTATATCCAGAGAGCACTGTGGACTTAAACAATGATGGATCGGGACCAAACTTGGCACAAATACTCAATATGGACAAATGTGAACACTGGTGGAGTTTGGGGAAAGTAGACCTTGACATTTGGGATTTGTAGTTGCTGTGATTTATAGTTCACTTATTTATTTAATTTTTTTGTCATGTCAGGAGTGACTCCTGGTGTGAGAGAATTGGCCGTCTGCAGGGATGTTGCCCAAGGGACGCCTGGATGATTTGATGTTTTTATCATCCTTGTGGGAGGCTTCTCTCATGTCCCCGCATGAGGAGCTGGAGCTGATAGAGGGAGCTCATCCGCCTCTCCCCGGATTCGAACCTGCGACCTGTCGGTCTTCAGTCCTGCCGGCACAGGGGTTTAACCCACTGTGCCACCGGGGCTCCTTTAGTTCACTTATAATCAAAGAGCATTCTGAACCCCACCAATGACAAAATTGGGCCAAATTTCCCACACAAGAACCCCTATGACAACTAGAAAATACTGTGTTTTCTGATGGCCTTTGGTGACCCCTCTGACATTGCTTTGCGACCCCCCCCCCAGGGGTCCTGACCCTCAGGTTACAAAACACTGACCTACACGGTGTGAGCTCTTCCTAAATACTACACCCCAAAGGCATTAGATTTCCTCTGATCTTGGAACTTAAGCAGAATGAGCTCTAGTTTGGGCTTGGGTGGGAAACTACCAACGAATGACAGGTGCTGCAAGCTATCTTTCAAAGCAGCAGTTCCCCAACTTTGGTGGTTCCGGATAATTAAAGTAGAAAACCACTGCTTCAGAGGGAGAAGAAGGCAAACCCACCCCTGAGTCGTTTTTGCTTAAGAAAGTCCTATAGAATTGCTGTAATCCCCAAAGGGGCTTGAAGGCGCGCAGGCCATTACCTAGGAGAGGTGCTCTGCCCGCAGGATGAATCCCCTGCCGGTCATGCCTGGGTGAGGACCAGTCGCTCGCGCTGAAGCGGCCGCTTGTTTCAACTCGACCGAAGGCACCGTCTTCTTCGCCTCATCCCTCTCTACTCGCACGGCGACGGGCCCCCAGGAAAACCCCCTCAGCTTTCCTTAAGCGGTGCACACAGTGCCGGCCACGAAGGCTGCCTCCTCCGCTTTCCTCCCGGCTCTCCCCGAAAAGGCCCGAAGGAGCAGGGACTCCCCGGCTCGGTTCGTGGCGGAGACCCAGGCCTAGCGCCCCGCTTGCCCTTCCTTCCCCTCAACGCGCCCGCCTGGGCGCCGCCATCTTAGCCGGCTCGACCTTCTCGCCCACTTCCGGGGAACAAGGCGGGGCTTCCGGGAGAGGCGGCTGTGATGGGCGGAGCACGCTGTGAGATTGGTTGATTCTTCTGTCAGTGGAAGGGAAGGAGGGGCTCTTCACGCCCCTCCCAACGCGCTCCTTCCTTGGAGTGTTGACTTTGTGGGTGTTGCCCCAGGAGGGAAATGCAGGGAAGGAAGAGAAAGAAGAGTGGATTCCCTTTTGCAGAACACTCCCTTTTCCTCCCTCCTCGGGGATGAGACCAGCTGCTTCTTCATCCTTCCTCATTCACACACACACACGTGCATACACACCCATAGATTGATACACACACAGGCAGGCATTCCTATCCGTGGAATCTGTATCCATGGGTCCAACCATCTTCCCATTTTAAAAAATCCAAAATCCTTGATTTTACTATTTTGTAACAATGTCCCTAGCCCCTGGTGGCGCAGCGAGTTAAACCGCTGATCTGCTGAACTTGCTGACCGAAAGGTCGGCAGTTCAAATCCAAGGAGTGGGGTGAGCTCCCACTGTTAGCCCCAGCTTCTGCCAACCTAGCAGTTCAAAAACATGCAAATGCGAGTAGATCCATAGCGGGAAAGTAAAGGTGCTCCATGCAGTCATGCCAGCCACATGACCTTGGAGGTGTCTACAGACAATGCCGGCTCTTCAGCTTAGAAATGGAGATGAGCACCACCCCCCTGAGTCGGACATGACTAGATTTAATTCCAAAGGAAATCTTTACCTTTACTTTTTACAATGTTCCTACCTACATTCTTGGCAATAAACAGTTATCCAGGAAATTGCCCTTAACTTTTCGACTTAATGCAAAGGCACATTAAACTTTGGTTCAGTATGATCATTTTTGATCTGGATTGTAGACTGTACTTAATTAATTATGCTTGATAATTATATTTTATTATTTTTTCTGATTTATTTTTACAGCCTTTTGTTGTAAACTGCTTGGAGAGAGTTGCCACTTATCACAGAGTTTTCTTGGCAATTTTTGAAGAAGTCAAAATTTCACAAATATCCATAATTCCTAGTTGGCTACAATTCAAGTTATTGGTGGATACCTAAAGCTGTATACCAGGCCAGTTTTCTCATGCTTCTTAAACTAGTGGTTCCCAACCTTTTTTTGACCAGGGACCACTTAGACCGGGGCCACACACCAGCATTAATACCAAAAGGGTTACGAATCATTTTTTGATCAACTTTAGATTCGGTTTGGTTATTTGGGGTGCTGATTCAGAAAATTGCATTGGATAGACCACATCAGCTCTAGTTTCTAATACAGAACATATGCCACCCAGGAGTCACCATCTGCTTGCCCACAGAAAACCATATTTAATAAGCCTTGGCACTATAAGAGGGTTTTGCAAGATCAGTTGCTCTTGTTGCAACGGAGTAGTAACAGTGAGGCTATGGACCATATTTTAGTTCTTGCGGATCACTGGTGGTCCGCAGACCATAACTTGGAAACCACTGGCTTAAACAGTTTGTTCCAAATCACTCGCATGCTCAGGATGGTTTGGCTCTTAAAGAGAGCACAACAGATATAATATTTATCTGCTCACATGACCAATACAAATCAATATGTCAAAGACCATCATCTGAAACTGGAGTTTTAATAGAGCAATCACTGTTAATTTGTCCTTGTTTAAAACCGTTTAAAGTAGCAGCTATCACTACACTTTGTGGCAGTGAATTGTTTAAAGAAATGGTGTCAAAGGAGTATTTCTTTTATCTTTCCTGAATCTCCTGCCAGCCAGTTCTTTCAATGACCCTGAGTTTTAATATTATGAAAGAGAAAGGAAATCTTCCTGCTATCCCCGTGCTCAATACTACTACTACTACTACTACTACTAATAATAATAATAATAATAACAACAATAACAATAATATATTTATATTCCACCCTTCTCCCCTAGGGGACTCGGAGAGGATTACACCATTTAGGGAAACATTCAGTGCCTTTACAATCTGATACAATGAGACACACAAACGCAAACAAAGGCAGAGGCTTCTCCTTTCATTTCCAGCTTCTGAAGGTGGTGCTCATATCTGACTCTGGGTGGTGCTTTTCTCCATTTTCAGTCCAAGAAGCCTGCATTGTCACCTCCTGGTTGTGTGGCCAGCAATATTGTTTGGAGTGTCTCTTTGCCTTTTCCCACCGAAGCGGTACCTATTTATCTACTCATATTTGCATATTTTTGATTTGCTAAGGTTGGCAGGAGCTGGAGCTGACAGGACAGCAGTTCAGTCAGCCTTCAGGTCAGCAGTTCAGCAGCACAGGGGTTTAACCCATTGCACCACTGCCGCTCCTTAAGTCTATGAATTTGTATCAGATTGTCCCTGCATTATCCGAGGCCTTAGTGGAGAGGCATATTGGGGGCAATCTTTCTGCAGCTCAGAACTGATTCTTCCAGAAAACAGGGCCGGGTCCTGCTTCCCCACTCATGTCTCATGGTGGCAATTGCAAACACAGTTCTCACCATGTAATTTGGTTGCTTATACCCTCTTTATCCTTCAGTTGCATATTTGGCTGGACACTGGCATGCTGCTTACTCAACACTGGTGGCTGTAACAAGAGATGTTTTGGAATTCCCTGAAGACGCTTAGACTGGAAATGTTCAGAAGCGTCTTTCTTTTTGAATAGCTCAACAGTGTTGGTTTCAAAATTATAGACAAGCCGGAGGCAATGTGCATTTCCTTTCCCCGAGGAATTTGAACTGGATTACACTTTCTTCTGACTGACTTTTTGGTGGAACGCAGGAAGCAAAAAACTGGGAACCTAGAATAACCTTTCCCCACTACTGGAAGCTGGAGTTTATTTGGGCATAAGCTACTAGAGGCTGTAGTTTATTTGGACATTCCTAACATTCATCAAGAATGAAGTGCTGAAATGAATCTCTGTTGAGTGGCTGTTGGGATTTATTCATTTATTTTTACAGTTCTACTACAGATAAAGAAAAATACAACTTTCTAGATAACTGATAAGAGGGGCCTGCAAAATGTCTGGCCCATCAACCCAGATTCCTGAAACCTGCAGCTTGCGTATGTTAATTTATCAGGGTCTGCTCCTTCAGTCATATTTAGCACTCAGGATTGTTCTTCAGCAGTGAATTTCGAGCAGGAGGTAGCTAGATGTCAAAGGAAAAAAGTTTAAACATATTTCATGTACCTGTCAAACTTCTGCTGTGATCAGTGCCAGAAAGGAGCCTCATCACCCATGACTGCTTCTTGTCTACAAGACTGCTAGAAAAAGTCTACTGGAATACCATGCTCCTTCCCTCCCAGCAACATTACTTGTTGAAAAAAAAAGAGGGTTCCAGTAAAGGGTCTAAATATTGGGGGGGGGGGGAGAGATTTTAGTCCTCCCAGTTGCAACCTCAATGCAGCAGGCAGCAAGGAGATAGCTTCCAACCATATTCACACATCCTTGAATATGGCCAATAGCAACCATTTTCAGCAGAGCTGTGGCACAAAGAGCAGGGACTGGATTCATATGCATTAAGGTTCTTATACTCTCCAACAACACCAATATTTAAAATGATATTGGAGATGTGTGAATTATAATAGCATTGTTGAAAGTTATTGTCTTTTTTAATTTCTTTAGTTCAAAAGTCAATCACTAGTCCAGAAGCCAATGCTAAACTACATGGAGCCAATTTAAAGTGAAGCTGAACAATTGTGTATTGGAGGACTGAAGATGTTTTTAAAATACATTAACATCTGAAGTTAAAAATCCGTTTGATTTCTAATATTTCTATGTGTTCATTGCTCATTAGAATGGGAGGAAATCATTTGCCCCCCTCCTAACTTTAAAGATGCTGACTGGGCACCTGGGAATTACAGCCCACCAACCTCTAAAAGCCTGTTTCCTACTCCTGTATGAGAAGTCAAAGAGATATGGAGATATATTTTAAAGAGCCAAGTGACCTTATCCAGTCTTCCTTGTATCCATGTGAGTAACTGACGGCTCTTCTACACAGGTCTTAAAATGTGGAAGAAACTGGGATAAAAGGGGTAGGGGGCTAAATTACATTTGCCAAAAATGTGTGCTGGATCACTTTAACAGTTGAGCAAGATGTGTTTAAAAGGTGCATTTAGAATCTGATTTTGGCCCAAAAATGTGTATATTCACACCACTGTATATCCCTGCACTCAAGAAGAAGACATGACTTCATTCCTATATGTTGGTGTAGACTGCTCCAGTACATGTCCATATTTTATAATCCAAAAACAGCTAATGAGGGCTGTGAATGGATTTGCATATTTGTATATTTTAAATAGTATGCTGATGTTTTTATGTTAAGCTGCTTTGAGTTTCCTTCGGGAGAGATAAAGTGAGGTAATAATAATAATAATAATAATAATAATAATAATAATAATAGGGTTCAAGAGGAAAATAGTAAAAGCAGAAGGAGTTGAGGAGAGATAGTGACAAGAAATCTGCATATGTGCACATTCAGCTATCCACATTAGTGTTTATGAGGTCCAGTGCTTCTCGGAGCATCAATTTTTAAAAAAGTAAACTTCCAGTGGATGGCCCCTGTGCATTCTGTGGATTTTTAAAATCTGCTACAAACAAATGTGTCAAGGAGATCATTTACCGGGACTGACAGCTCAGTGTTTGGACTTGCTTTCAGTATCACAATTTTTTCCCCCATTTATTTGTCCCAAATTATGAGGCTGTCCGGAAGTGCCCTGACAAACAATCCTGATGGAGTGTGTGTGTTTTCAAATCGCTTGTTCACTTATGGTAACCTCATGAATTGCCAGGTGCTTTATGGGGTAGCAGGTGACTTGAAGACACATAATATACATATCTTATCCATCCATTTCTGTCTGCATATGCTTGCTGTGCTTACCCATGGGCACCTTATATCTAATGATTCTGTTAGAATATAATCATTTTTATCTAAATAAAATTAATTTACTGATGCCTGCCTCTCTGCTCTGTCCCTGCCTCTTTTGCATCTAGCTTCATTAAATTACTCTGTCCACCC